GCTTCGCTGAGAACCTGTTGCAACTTTTTTTTTTGGATGCAAGTGTTACTAGTTAAGTGCACTCAATCCAAGTTTGGATTTGTAATGAGTATTTATCCCCTTGTAATGTCAATAATGAAAGCTGCGTGTTTATCCATAAAAAAAATGTAAGAGATTATAAATACATCTCATATTTTCATGAGTTATTTTGCAGTATACAAATATTAACCAAATATTCAATTTCAAAGTTGTCAACATTCATCAAATGTTTCACGTATACGTGCAATAGTTTCCGATTTTGATACATTCCCGTTTGACTCCAGTAATAATTAATTAACAAAGATTAAAGCATCTCATTTAGCAAAAAAAAAGATTAAAGCATCTAACCAGACATTAAACACTTGTTTCACACAAATTAAGAAAGAGTAAATTGTGATTACTTATTAATATACCTAAACATTTTCCAACAACTATGAACTATAGTTATTCATAAATTCAAATATCCTCATTTAATACTTTTGAAAGTTTATAATTTATTAATATTAATCAATAAAAAGTTATAAGAAAACCTAAAAAATTAATTTTTGTGGAATAACATAAAAAAAGATAAAACATCAACATTCAAAGAATGGAGAGAGTAGTAGTAAATCGTAATGCCAGTTAGTCAAAGGAGGTAACCAATGGAAGAAAGTCAAACACTTAAACTTTTAGTCATTGCATCATCTTGAACTTAATTAGTTTACTTTTAGTTTCCAATGGAACAAAAAATATAATACTAAAAGAGACACATGACAATTTGGATTTAGTGTCATGATGTATTAAACACTAAAGTCTTACAATTTGAGGTGTTACACTAAAGTCTTACAATTTGAAAAACGAACATGACAACTAATTTCGATTTATCTTAAAATTTGGGTTAGAAGTTTAGTGACTTTAGTCCATAATGAACCACCTAACCGGATAATTGTAGTTATTTATATTCAACTTTTTAATTACACGTTATGTTGTGGGGAAAAATTACAAGCACATTACATCAGCAACCTACATACATTTTTTTTTTAAATCCATTCAACATATTTTCAAATATTTGCGGAAAATTAGAATCGATATCCATGTGCTCAAATTGCAGGAATGCTACTTGCGTTAACGGATTTGAACCAACTTCTCATTAATAGTAGTTTATGAATCTAAAATCTAAAAAAAAAAAAATCATGAATCGAGAAACGACTATTAATTATATCATAGACATAGTCTTTATCGTTATCGATTTATCATGTACTGGTAAAAGATTATATGCTAATTTGTATGTAGAATTGTAAACATGATATAAAAATATTCTGTTTGCGCCGAAAAAGGATATAACTAATATTATCAAAACATATATTCAAAATTTCCATGTGCTTTGTTGATACTAGTACGAACGAAATCATCGAAATCATACTACATGACGATTTTGTTCCTTGTTGTATGAAACGCGGATAAAACGGCCGTAAAGACAAATAATCCTTACATGTGATGAGCATTGTTTTGGTCGTTGGGTTGTATAACATAAAGTATTTTCAAAGTAAGAAAAAAACAATATATATAGACACGTAAAAATGATTTTGAGAATTTGGGATCAATGCTGTTCTTAATTGCATATGACCGATCTAAAACTTGTCATCTGTATCATCGACCGTATATATGGTCTTACTCAATAAATTATTACTAGTTTTTTTCAGACTTGTGAGTTGGCCGCGATATATGATTTAGATCACAAATATCTATAACAAAAACCAATATGGTCGGTTGTGTTTATAATGATATCGGAATCGTAGATTTTCACATATTTTAGTTTGGGGATTTGTCCCGTCAATGTTTGGCATTTGTCCAAGATAAACTAAATTCTTATTCACATAGTTTTATGTAGATTATAATTTTGGAAAAGAAAGAAAAAACACATGAACATGTCAAATTTCACAACAAAGAATGCAGTAACGTGGGTTTCACAAGCAAATGAGGCCATAACTTGTATACAGCTGAAGCCTAAAGATTAGATGTTGATCTACCATTTAAAACATGTTTTAAGACATTGTCATACACATGGTCGGCCCAAAATACTTTTATGCTTAAAGCAAAAAAAATGGTTTTAACGAACACAAAAATAAATAAATAAAAACCAATGTTTTGAAAACCGGACCGGACCGGAGGTCGGACCGGGTTTGACCGCGAATCGGCCGGCTAGCCGGGTTGGATTGACCAGAGTTTGAG